GTTTCAGTGAATGGAAATGACAGAATACAATAGCACAGGAACAGTGCAAAGGTCAAAATTTGAAAAAACACAACAGACAGTACATATGTCAAGCTCCACAACTGCACATGTAGCAAATTATATTACATCTTGATACTCAATGGCCGAGGAATGGACATCAAACGTTCCAATATGAATGAAGTGCAAAAGTAAGAACAAGGTCTAAATTCAAGATATTGCTTAATAAATTCAAGATATTGCTTAATAACTGCACATGTGATGTATTTACATTTTTAACAACAATACAGTAAGAAAGCTCTATAACTTAAGTTACACATTTGGAAATAGTTTGCATAATTTTGTGTTAAAACTTAATTTTTGAAATAGTTAAAAACATCAATGAAAAGTGATAATCAAATTAATTTGAAATCAATAGGGTTCATCAGAAGAAACCTGCATACCAAATTTCAACTGATTCGATTAAGCAGTATCTGGAGAAGTTATGTTGTGAGTGGACATAGCTTCTTTTGAAGAAACAGCACCAGAATGGGCTTCAGACATTGTACCCATGTGGGAAATTGAACCCTGGTCTTCGGTGTGACAAGCAAACGTTTTAACCACTAGGCTACCCATTGCTCTGAAGTTACGTATAAAAACGCCAAATGAAAAAAGCTCTTTCCACTGCAATGGTCAGTACCAGGGTTACCAAGATTCTCTGGGGGCACCTAACCATCACTAAATACAGACAATCTATTTGATGTGCCTAGTATGACGTGAGGTACCTAGCCCAAAGCATTGGCTTGTTCTGCTTTGCCCAGTTAAGCAATGGCAAACATATAGGTCAAATTTGCAAAAGGGCGGATCTGCAGTCTAAGGACAGTTTCGGACCATCTTGAACTTTGCTATTTCCTCTACATCAAAAGGTGAGGATGGAGAACCTTTGACTACATCATCCTGCCGACTATCATTTCTTTGAGAAGTCAAGATTGCAACCATACAGGAAATCCTACATTTTGAGATTGCTCTCCAAAGTATGATAAAAATATGATGAAACAATATGACTAGCTAGAATCAGGTGGGGTAGATATGGTTTTCAAATTTCGCATCCTTTGTGAATATTATGGCCCATGACAACATTTTTACTTTGCAGACATCAGCTATTATGTTGGAAAGATTAAATGAAGTAAGTTGAAAACATGGACCCCCACATGTTCCACGACCTATTGCCAAATTTCAATACATTTCTGAACCCGAACATTACCACAATGATCAGTGTTCAAAATTTCTGATTTCTGTGACCAATTTTTGGAACTACTTTTGCTTGGATCCATTTACACGAAGTTTCAAAATTTTGGTCTTGTAGTTTTAAGAGGAGAAGTTAAAATAGTACACATACTGAAAAACTGGGTATGTGAATGTCAAAGCTTGTAACAGGATCAAAATGCGCTATACGAATAGGATTCATGCAGTAATTGCTAAAACAAAATAGTCAAAATTAACAGTTTCACAATTCAGTGAGTGAAACTTTTAGTTTCTTTTAGTTTTTACTTCTAAACTGTTTCAGCAGTACCTTTTTTAACTTTTCCATGACAGAGGGCACTGTCAGTGCAATAACAAGTTTCAAACTATTTTTTATTTTAATTTCTGACAGTGGTTTTTGGTTTTGGGTTGAATTTGAAAACCTGAATTATTTTTAAAATGTCAACATAGCAACATTTCAATACACCTACTTAAGATCACATTGGAAACTAATTGTCACCTTAGTTTGGTTTTCCCCACAGAGAGTACATTTTTTTAAGTCACAGGGCAAAGAGTAATTGGATCGAGTCGAAACTCTGAGTTTGAAAAACTGCACCATCAGTAAATGCAGTGAAGAACATCCATTAGGGTGTGTCATCTTCAAATTCTCAACCGACTGAAAACTTTCTTCTGACTGACTGACTGAGTTTGGTTTTACACCGCTTTTAGCAATATTCCAGCAACATCACAGCAGGGGACACCAGAAATGGGCTTCACACATTGTACCCATGTGGGGATTCAAACCCGGGTCTTCGGCGTGACGAGCCAACACTTTAACCACAAGGCTACCCCACTGCCCCTCTAAATTCAGAAGACACTACATCAACCTAGTAGTGTCTTTAAGACACATGGACCGAATTACCTGCCTGTGGAACAGACAATCCAATGATTAATATTATGAGTAAGCATCAACACCGTCAGGGCAAACTGGCATGCTATCTCCCTAGAGACTGAGCTTGAGTTTATTGAAACAGAATGTCAGTGCAAAAGAAAGCTCAGAATTGGTAACGTTTGATCCTGTTACGTACATTTCTCTAGAATAACATATGAGCAGGGCTGTTCCAATTGATTCACATATTCAATGAATTGAATCATATCCCTTCATGAATTCAATTCAGTATTTGTGATTAGTAGTATTGAATATTCAAGCCATGTAGTAGAATAACTTGTGTAACCTTGCCATGGCCTTGTACAATCCCAGAGCTCCAGATAGGATTTAGCTCATGTGGGTACTGTACCCACTGTATTTTTGGGAGTGGGTATTATGAATGTTGAGTGGGTATTTCATTTTCCGTTACCCACTGCTTTCAAATATGTGCGTATTCATTTTACTCACCTAAGTATTACGTCATTGAGTAAGTTTACATTTTCTGGCCTTATGTCATACCTAATCAAAACCAACTTAAATATAATGTGATTTCCTCATATACTACAGTACTAACAGTACAACTTGATAGCAATCCATGTCTTTTTCATTACGCAAGCGATGTTTATAAATATATTCTGTACGCATTTGTTTTAAACTTTTTGCGTATCTAACATTTTAAATGCATAATTGGTATGCTACAATTATTTTTTCAATGCGTAATTGGAAATTTTCTAAGCGTATTTTTCCCAGATATGCAGCTTATCTGGGCCTCTGCGATCCTGTCAATCAACACACTGGACTGTAAGCAGGTAGGTAGGATAAGTTAACACTGTCAACATCATAAAACAAATAAAACATCAGCAACTGACTGTATTTGTGAATACATATTTGTGTTCATTACCCTTTATTTGTAGTGTACTCATTGGGAGCTCAAAAACATTATAAATTTGTTAGTGAATGAAAATTTTAAATTACATCAGTATATTTTTAAGAAATAGTGGCAGATGTTTGTTGTTTATGCGATGCTCAGTAATTTTCCAGTTAAATGATGGCAGTCTGTAGATAATCAAGTCTGGACCAGACAATCCAGTGATTGACATCCCATCAACATTAACATCTAATCAGTGAATAGCCATGCCTTAGACATTAATGAGAACTGAAAAAGAAAAGTATGTACTTCCTGCACAGCAAGTGGTCCCCAAGAAGCTCCTATCCTGCAGCTGTACTGAGCTCAACTAAAAACCCACCATGACAGATGGTGTAGATAAATACTCCAGTTTCTTGTACAAGAATTAAAACTTCACTGTTGAATTATTTATCATCTTTTTTAAGGGGAAACTGTTCATGCATCTTTTAGGATCCTTTTCAGAATTTAAAAACTTTGGCACAGGTCTGAATCTGTTCTGCTCGCAGGAACTGCTAAATAATCAATGAGCAGTCTTCAGACAAACAATTTGTACCATCTTCCATGAGACTCTCTGATCATACAGCCTGTATCACATCAGAGATGTATCATTAGATGCAGGATCTGCACACCAGGAACGAAACAATTGGGTTGAAGAGGACACCTACATATTTATACTCCTTGTTTCATCTTCAATTTGCAACAGAAGGAAATCTCCTCTTATTGTCATAGTCAAAGGCTGGAGGCAGACACCATTCCATCACTTGGGACAGATACTCTGTAATTCCTCATTGATTATTCACTAATTACTTTTTATGCATCATTCTTTCTGTGATTATTCTGATGAAACAGATGCTCTCATTTATTTGAAATTAGTGCAGGAATGTGAGATACGTTGTCATTAATAGTCTCACTCCACTAGCTCACTGTTGTCCCTGCAAACACTGCCCGAAACATACACGTTGAAAGAAGCAGGCTTGTTATTGTAATGCGAAAATATACTTGAAGTAAATATCAGAAAAGTGAACAAATTCACTACAACATTGAACCTGTGAAGATCCGGGTTAGAATTGGTCTTCAGTAACCCATGCTTGTCATGAGACAGACTAACGGAATCTGGTGGTCAGGCTTGCAGACTTGGTTGACATATGTCATCATATCCCAATTGCTTAGATCAATGCTCATTCTGTTAATCAATGGATTGTCCAGACTTGATTATTTACAGACTGCTGCCATATTGCCAAGTTGGGTATTAAACAAAAACCAACATACCATCCAGCCAACCACTACAACATCAACTTCATGACCAAAGAGCCCAATTCAAGGAGTATTAAGCTTTGCTGAAGGGGTCGTTGTCAGCACAGGTACTACAGATATGTACCCCAGGTACGTTTCTGTATACAGAAATATACCCTAAACAAAGACAAAATACAGAAACATACCCAGTAGCCTAATTGGGGGAGGATTGGATATTCCTCAACCCAAAAACAAAACCGTATGTAGTTCTTCTCATTTGCCTTATTGAGTGATGCATTGTTTATCATGAAACATTCATTGCTAAGTTTGCTCGTTTCTTACGCAATGAAATGCATCTCATACAACAGTATGACATTTCCAATGGAGAAAATGGCCCAATGCGGAATGGATTCATCCTAGGGTCCATATCTCTATCTGTATAGGCTGAGGTACATACCCGTGCCAACAACGGCCCCTTCAGCGCATCTAAATCAGACTTCTTGCTAAAAACAATACCTCCCATGCATGATTTACACAGATAAGTATCATGCAAAAGATTAATTCATCTGATTTGAAAGTGACTATGTTTTAAGCACCTTCGTGCTCATTCTGGACGAAAAAGGCAAAACCTTTCCATTTATGAATGCATTCTCAATTTTCTAGTTTATTACAAAAGTCATTCTTCTATTATAATATCCTGATCCAATTCTTGACCATAGCTCCATTTCAAAATGACTTTTACATTTGCTTTACTGTCATCACAGAGCAGCTATTTCTGTTGAACCTAATATATTCATCGGTCATCACTAAGTTGTACACAGTTTTCTTGTAAAGTCAACAACTAACCACAGTGACTTTAACTTCCAGCAGACTTTGACAGTTTAAATTGTACCAGACTAATTATCTTTGACAGGTTCCAATGTCAATTCCACTTTGGAAAATGGTCATTTACCTTGAGTTGGAATCTATTTCTAAAATGTCACACCCTGGGAATCTCGATAAAGACAATTTGAAAAACAAGAACTGTCTCAGTATCTCCCATCAGGAAATGGTGAGGCTAAATTCTGAATATTGTCATACAAACAGATGGTAAAACTTGGTGCTTGTGGTGTAGTACCCTGACTGGAGCTCAGTATGAAGTTGACAGATTGTTGTTTAACGCTGCTCTCAAGATTCAGCCATATGGCGGACTCAGTTAATAATCGAGTCTGGACCAGACAATCAAGTGACAGGGATAGAAATACTATTTTTTCTAAGTGTGCCTTAGGGCACCAGGCAAATATTTTAGGTGTGCGTTTCAGAAATCAGGTGTGCCCACGTTTCTAGAATAAATGACTGTAGCAAGGATGATGATCTTTTGAAATTTATTGTCAGAAAACAACAAATGTAACCTGTTTTCTGTTATCACTGATATGTCTTCTGTTTAAGATGGCTTTCTTATGTTTCATTTGTTCTGCTTTCCCAACACCTTTAATAGCTAAGAATTGTGTGAGAGGCTCACTTTTTTAATATATCTAACATACACACTTTCCTCTTCAATAACCGAACTATCAGTCATTCCAACACTTAAAATGAAAAAACAACCAGATTTCTTTACCTCAACCATCATAATTCCAGTGATTTCCTGGGCGATAAAGTCAATAAATGTTTTTGCTTGTTTGTCATTTGCATAAGTGTTTTGTTTGGTTGTTAAATGACTAAAGGTGTGTTATGTCTCTAAAAAATTAGGCTTGCCATAAGGGCACCGAGAACATTTTGTATCCGTGCCATTTCGATATTTACCATGTCAAGGCATGCTAATATATGGGGTATTTCGAACCCTGAGTGATCAACAGTATGAGCATCAATGTACGCAATTGGGATGACATGTGACAACCAAGTCAACGACCCAACCACCCTATTCCGTTAGTTGCTTCTTACAAGCATGCATTACTGAAGACCAATCCTAACATGGATCTTCACGGGTGCTTGGCATAAAGGAACACACAAAGAATGGTTGGCTACAAGTCAGATCATATCCTTTCGAAGCAAGGTATCCATGTTAAACTGCAGCTTGGTATTTCAGGCATTCACACACATTGCACAGTACAGTGTAAAATGATAAATATATTGGCCCTGCATTACCAGTGAAAGCAAGGGCCTGATCAGCTTCATGATCAAATAAGACTTGGGTGAATAATGGTTACAGGAATGATTTGATAATGAATCCGTGCATATAGAACATGGAATTCATCACTGGGTTCACGACTGTGTGGTACACTTCAGATTTGAATGTCAGTTCTCACCACGGACTCATATTAATGTCGACACATGTGGGTCTGGCAAGAGCTCATTTTCTACGAATTGATCATAAACACATATTCATAAACACATTTCCTGGATCTGTCGTAAGGTGCACCGAGTGTAGGGTCTCAGTTGCACCGAGGGACCAGCTCAACAGTTACATGTCAAATAAAAACTTATTTCCTTGACACAAAGACATACAAAAAACAGACAACATTGTATAATATTTTCAATAACGGCAACAGAAGTTGAGGAGGAACACCAACACATCATGGAACTTCATCGGATGTGATGTAAAATTGGGTCTAATGTTCGAAAAAGATTATCGCACTTATACAGAGACATGCATGTACATACATGTGTCTACATACCATTTGGACACATTATAATCCAACCTGACCAGCCCTACTTATCTCCCCCTGCTGCTGACCTTCAACAATTACAGTGTCTTTGGGGTCAATCAAAAGGGGCAGACGGTATCTGCTAGACGCTGGAGGTGATCAAATGTTCTTTGAACTGATACAATCTTTCTATTATTTGCTACTTGATGTGCCTACAGTAAGGTTGAGGACTAAATACATAAGAGTTTGATCAGTTATTTATTTACTTGAACACTCACTGAGAAAGGGAACAACAGACTGTTTTACAAGTTTTTTTCTAAAGCTTGACCTTGACCTTTGACCGTTTCATGAGATGAGCCAGGAGAATTCTGCAGGGCCATTTGAAAGAAATCCATTGAAGAATAATTATTAAAATGTCAATAATTGGTTTGGAGAAGAAAATCACTAACGTGATTGGACAAATCTTTAAAAACTGTCAAACTGTCCTGTTTCAAGGAGCTGCTAATTCAGTTATGTGTCCGACATTAACTCCTTTAGCTGCTCCATAACATATGCCATTATCTTTGGTAACCATGGCAGCAGTTGGATAGCAACTGATTTAACACAAAACTAGTGTAATTTTGGAGACATAAATATTTCTATTTTGATCTGAATGAATTTCTAAATGAACAGGGATTGATGTACATTCTAAGCAGAGAGTAATCATCAGATCTTCATGCAGAGGTGGGAATCACAATAGAGTCAAAAATCAGACTTGATGAGATTGGACAGAAAGGTTGGTTGGTTGGTTTGTTTCTTGTTTAATGACACGCTCAGCAATATCCCAGCTGTATGCATTCTCTTCCCACAGAGGTTACTTGTCATATCTTCCTACCAACCTCTGTTCTAATACGGCCTTTTCATGGTGCGAGTGTTCAGGATTCGTGATTGGTTGCAATCAGATTTAGTTGTGCAATCAGCGACGTTGTTTCAAAAGTTATCTTTCGCAAGGCCTCGGTTATTTCCGTATGCTTCGGGGAAACTAGAACCCTTTTCCTGCGCGATGCGCAAACGTTTCTTATAGACAGAACTCAGTCATGTACATGGCGGATCAATGGCGTCTCCATCGCCCTCGTTGACAACGGCTAAGCTAGCCATTAAATGTCTTGTGCGTCACATCAACACAAGTTCCTGGCAGAGGAAGGATATTTGTGACCCAACATTTGCTTGTATTAGTCAAGTTGACGTGTTCTGATTGGACAGAAAGAAGTGAGATAATTCGTGTTGCAATTTTTTGCCGCTTGGGGATTTTACGAGAACCAGGAAATATGACCGTATTAGAACAGAGTTTCGTAGGAAGAAATGACAAGTAACCTCTGTGGGAAGAGAATGAGCTATATGGTGATGGTCTGTAAATAATTGAGTCTGGACCCGGCAATCGAATGATCAACAGCAGGAGCATCAATCTCCACAATTGGGATATGATGACATATGTCAACCAAGTCAGTGAGCCTGACCACCCGATCCCATTAGTCGGCTCATACGACAAGAGACCAATAAACACAGATCTTCACAGGTTGGACAGAAAGGTGAGGAATGACAGAAGATTATTATGGAGAACACCTTTTCAAAGGGTGAAATAGATAACAACATAACCTGGACAAAAGGAATGAGGTGTGACAATGGACACCTGCACCTGCCATGATATTGCTGGAATACTATACACTTTACAAGGCAGAAAAATACATAAAGATTTCACCAGTCATCGCAATTAGATTTCCTACTGTGATCTCTGAAACCTGACCTGATATCCATATAAGGTTATGTCAGCTGAACTTTCTGATCAGTTTTGAGAATTCCACATTGTTCATAGTGAGTGTGGTTTTATGCCGCTTTTAGCGATATTCCAGAAAAATCAAAGCTAGGGACACCAGAAATAGGCATCACAACATTGTACCCATGTGGGGAATCAACAACTTCCACATGACCAGCGAACGCTTTAACCACTTGACTACCCCACCGCCCACATTCTTCGTACATAATAAAAGCTAAGCCATTATACTTTTGAGGACATTTTAAAATCCTGTCATCGCTGCCCTCCATTGCACCTGCATCCAAGAAACATTGTTTGGCATGTTTGTGTCCACTGTGGCTTGTTAAATTGCAATTTCCGAAGCAAGATGGCAAAGAATTGAAGCCAAATCATGTTAGAAAGCTGACATCTGACAGACTCAAGAATTCACGCATCCTTTAAAGTGGGTGGATCAAGGTCGCCGAGGGTTCAACTCCCTTTGGGTGTGTCCTCCAAGAGAGGTACTGGAGTGCAGCATTTGATTGTAATGACATTGGATGTTCACGTGTTAGTCATCAAGCCTTTTAATGTTTGTTTGTTTCATTAGACATTACATGTGATGCCAGTGGTTGGAACAAAAGTGGAATTAATTTCCTACCTCACAGATTTGCACATCTACTGATGAATGAAAAACAAACTGAAGATGGTTGAATGGTTTTTTTATCAAAACAATTAACATATTATTCACGATATACCTTAGGGTTTGTGGGGCGAGTTTTCATCACCTGTAACTAAAAATTTACGACAGCAAAACAGAAATGATGCAAAAGTCATTCATTGTTATTTTTATGTCAGGCTTTTTTGTCAGCCTACTCAAGAGCATGTCAGGCATTATACCACAATTTGGTAATGACCACAGCATTCCTTAAATTCTTGTTTCCCTGCCAGGCTTTCCTCCATTTTTATAAGTTCCAATAAATCTTACAGTTATTTTGTGGGTAAATTGAAACAAAGTCTGAGTTATTATACATGTTGGAGAAGAGCACTTATCTCCTGTGTGGGATTTCCTATATATTTTCATTGTTGCGACTAGCTAATTGTACTGGTATCCCAAGCTGACATCAGATAACAAGGGATAACAGACTGCTTCGTTAACCTCGTTACCACTCTCTGCCGGGACCAAAACACAACGCTGGCTTACTGATAGTGCACAGATGAAGATGGGATAGCCACAAAGATGCTGGAGAAGGATGCTTCTATTGTACATTCAGTTAAAGAATAAAAACATGACATGCATCACTGGATTGAGCTGTACAGTTGATTG